CTTTGTAGCCACCACAAAGGAAAAATGCATTCAGAATTATGATTTTTCCATATGAATTTGGAAAAAAAATTAATTTGCATTGCAAAATGTCAGAGAACTACATATTTTGATATTTTTACGAAGAGAAATATATTAGAAACTTAATAAAAATAATATCTAAAAAAAACGATCACGTACAAAAATTGCAACGGAAACGGGAAGTTCTTAAAAGCCTCGAATGCATTTTAACAAAAAACCAGGGAGAAGAAAGGAAAAGTGTAAAGGAAATAAAAGGTAAATATGTGGCAGCTATCTGGTATCAGCATTATCAGTAATAAAACATTACCACATCCTTGTCCGTTACCATGCTACTTGAGAGCAAGTACATATGAATTGTAATAGGTATAGTAAAAAAAATCCATAAGTTTTAGAGTGATAGTTAGAGTGATCCGATTTAGCTCCAATATGCGCCATTTTATTCGACAACTTGTTGCCATTTTTAATATCATTATGTCCCTCTGATACAAGTCCTCGTCCCTATTGACAAAAAATTGAGACAGTCGATTTTCACAAGTCTCTCTTGAAGTTAATTTTTTAACATTAAAATCGTTCGCCATGGACAGGAAAAAAGGAACAGATGGTAATCTCTTGGTGCCAGGTCTGGACTATAAGGTGGATGCATAAGAAGTTCTCAACAAACGAAATCTCTTCTTAATGTTAATATTTTTTTGCCGAAAGTAACGTGTCTTATGACGAAAAGAAACTGTTTGAAAGTTAGAAGAGTTAAAATAGAAACGAAAAGACAGCAATAAAAATTTTTGGTTACTTTATTGAAATTTTGCTGATCATACAACGCTGTTTCGAGTATTGCCCCGTACTCATCGTCAGTGGTCTTAGGGAATATTCGAATTTTTTAATTTGTTTATAGTCCGTCTCATCTCATCATATCTCTAACGTCATTTAATGTAACCCAATCAAACTTTTACAACGCGGGATACAGACAACTAAAGCCAGCTAAATAATGTGTTTCTTTTTACTACACTTAATATATCATTTACAGAAGCGTAAGAGTCAAGAAAAGTCAAGAAAATCGGACATAACTAAATTCAGTTCCCTTCCTTTAATGTCAGGTTTTCTTTTTCTATTTTTTACAGCTGTGTTTAAAGTCTTTTATGTCATTGTATTTTAATCCACTGGATTCCATTGTGCGAAATCGTCTGCATAACATGACCCTTAGACAAATTACCGATGAGATGGCAAATAATATATCAATACCAATTTACAAACACCACAGCTAAAAATTTTAATAATCTCTCAGTAGCTTTCAAATTACTTAATCCATCTTATGAGTCAATGACTTCCTACGCATAAGGATCTATTAACTATTACAAATCACAACAGAATGGCTCTAGAGTTTAGCGCTATAAGTAAAAGTAAGATGTGTAGTTAAGATATAATACGAATGCAAAATAATACCATACAAATTCTTTTCTACAAGATGAAATATTGATGATCCTTTAATATTATACGGAATACTCACTTGTCAGACTGCATCAATTCTTGAAAACATCAAATGTAAATTATTTTCGGATCATTCTAGTCAACAACAAAAATATTGACACAGATTTCTCAGTCTACAAACAATCGAACCCTAATTTATAATTATTTTTAGCTATTCTCGTAAATGTTTCTGTTAACTTTTATCTCGAATATGAAATTGAAGGACCCTAACTCTTAAAGAATTTGTGAAATGTAGAGGAATACATCGCCTAACTGAACTGTTTGTAGTATGCGGTTGTCTGAAAACAAGTACAGTCATTTTATTCGGCTTACTTTCAATCGAATAAAGAGTGTGAATTTCGGGATAAATTATATTATTTGGTTTATTTATAGTTTTGAATTGTCCATATTAAACTAAAAAATTTTTTATGCAGTGATAGCAAAAAAGTTATGATAAGTTTCAGGAAAATGACTATTATTCATAACAAACGAAAGAATTGTCCTCAGTTTTCTGAAAATTATACTGGGAACATGTTGTCCCTGTACAGGACTACGCAATACTGAAGGCTAAATATTCTCAGTGTTCGTAACAAACGGCAATTACTATGTCTACTTTATCTATTGCTCATGTACATGCGTTGGGCCTATGATGTTGACGGACTGCAGTTTATTGAATTGAATTAGTAACTAGAGATCTGGACACAAATTTTAAATTAATGTAAAATAAATATTACAGATAAAGTCGCAATTTATGCTAAGCTAAACCACATTTTACTTAACTAAGGTTAGATAGGCTCATAGGAACGACCATAGATCCCGTAAATACAATCCAGCGTCAGATGACATCTCAACAGAACTTCAAAATTTTTGTCAAAGAATTGTGGAGCAACATATGTATTAATTTGTTTATAGAAAAAAACGTCCATAAAGTTACTTCAACTCTCTTATTATTAATGATTATCTAATGTGCAATGAAACACTTGTCTTTTGTGATTATATATGTCAAAAAATTATTTTAATTGTACGATCTTAATTTATTTTTGATTGCTTTTTTACAATTCAGGAAAAAATACTGTCACTTATTTAGTTAAACCTACATACGAGCAGAGTAACCTTTCATTTTCTTCCAATCAATCAAAGCTTAAGATGAGTTTGCGATGCTGTGATTTATCTTTTTCACAATCTTTCCCAAACTTTTTATCACTTTAAACTATAAAGTGCATTAACATCAAAAAAAAAGTAATACAAAGCAAAACTTTAATGGGAAGAGGGAAGACTGAATTTAAATGACAAAAAACGTACACATACCTACAATGAATGAATTTTATAGGTATTTCTTAATCGTTTAATTTAAGGACCCACCTTTCCATCTTACTTCACTTCGAATGGGTAATTCAAAATATTTATAGTTTTTTTTTTAATCTTAAATGTTTATTTTGATTTAATATATATAAAAAAAAAAAGGAAAAGTGTATGAAAGTTTCACGTAATCTCAAAAAGTCAATCACATTTCAATGCAATTGTGGTTAAAAATTCCGAATCGCTTTCGGCCGCAAAATCCAAATTTCTTTGGTTTCATTTGGCAGTTTTACCTTGAATTGTTGACGGCGGAACCGAAGTGAATTTTCACTTGCTATTAGCTTTTCACGAAAAACTCAAAAACTATGGTGGAACAATTTAAACAAGTTGCCAATTTCCATTGACAGGTGAAAATATTTCGCGCACTTCGATGCAAAGGCATTTTTCATCGAAGTGAAGGCGTGGGTTGCCTGACGTGGTAAGAAGCGATTTTCTATGAGAAGCGAAACCAAATTGCGGCACGACCGGCCTCAAGGTCATTGTAACTGCAGCCGCTAACCAATTTCCATTTTATTATTAATTTTAGTAAAATATATTTTCATATTTTTATTTTTATTAAAATAAACTTTTTCACATAATTATTTTATTAATGCCATAAGGAAAAAGGAAACGGATTTTTGTTTGGATTAGAGGAAAAAATTTTAAACGAAAAAATTTGGAAATATTTCAGTAGTTCCTGAACAAATATATGTGACATTTTTATGAAAACTTATAGAAATAAGCTTCCGATATAAATTAATTACGATTTTTATAAGAGTTACGCTTCTGAAATATAGGATTTTATCAAAAGTACTGGGTGCTGAAAATTATTTTCCAACTAAGACGAGTAAGTTATTAAGACGAATAAGCATTATTAATTAATGCTCTAAGAAAGCATTAAAATATGATGCGAAAAAATAAAGTTTTCATTTGGACTATAGTTGCCTCAACAGATCAAGTTTCTCCAAACAAATAAAGTAAATGTTGGAAAATGAATTCTTTACTAACACTATTATTTGGTATTCTAATCAGAGACTTCAGGGAACACTAAGCCTGGGCTAGATTAAGTCTAAAAGGTGCATGTTGAACTGAAACTTAAAGATAACTATAGTTCATTGTAATGAATTTCTAGTTACCATGAGGAAGCGAACTGTTCTATTACACTTAAGCGAACTTTCTTTTTGATTTTTCTGATGATTCCAGATGGGCAGTTAGAAAGATTCGATAACTTTACCTTGATTAGCTTAACAATGCTTGAAGTCTGTTTCTTTACTGGAATTGTTAAACTAACGAAAGTCGGAATGGTGTGTCCGACTCCCTGACATTAATATGTAGTATACGGACTTAAATACCCCCTCTTCAGCGAGATTTATTTCCCCTATTCTCTACGAAAGTAGAGATTCGATAACTCTACTTTGGTTAGCTTAGCAATACTGGAAGCCAATTTCTTTGGTGTTATTAAAGTAACGAATCTTTCTTACTTTCTCTGGAAAACCCAGGTCTAATAGTAAAACCCATACACCCTTATTGAATAGTTCTTAAACAGTTCTGATCATAATAATAGTAATATATTCAATATATTGAATATATTGACTATATTGCATACTGAAGAAGACAATTACTCATAAATTAATTTCTTATTAAGACGAATTAAAAATCAAAATAATCAAAATCCGCTTTGAGCAAGAATTCGATTTTGATTATGGTTAGGTATTGAGATAGCAGTTATTGTTAAAACATGAACTAGAGATTGGTAAATCGACTCCTACCAACAGACGGTCTCACTACAATTATCAATTTATAACAATTTCTATTTAGATTATTTTGGACTGCATTGATATTATAGCTCAAGTGAACGTCATTTAATATTGATATATGTTTAGAAATTATTTATATTTATAAAAATATATAGATATAATAGTTCTTTGAAAATTTAGGGTTCTAAGTTAAACTTATAAATGTTTTTTTATTTTTTTTATTTTTATTGTTATAATATTGCTCTTGTATACATGTATATTAAGATTTCTATTCTATGAGTCAAGAAAATCTAAGTAACTGAACTCTCTACAACTTTATATATAACTCTACAACTTTATATATAACTCAAAACCATAATTTTTACTTTACATAAAAAAAAAATAAATAAATGTTTTTTACAAAATGATTAATAATTTTTTATTTACCTTGTAATTTAAATCCTGCACATTCTCCAGACTATACATATCTTCTGTTGTATCACAGTTGGAACTACGACCCGATGAATTAAAACTAGAAGATCTGTAAAGTTGACTGAAAAAAAAAAATTAACTTCAAGTTAGATATATAATTATCATTATTTATATTATATATTAATTTTATATTATCATTAATTTAATATTAATACAATTAATTAAAATATATATTATATGTTAATGCAAATATTAAATACAAAAACCAGTGATGGTTTTGGAATTATATAGCGATGGTTTTGGAATTATATCGTAAAAACCATGATATGTATTTGACAATACTCGGCTGTGCGGTCAACCAAAAATTCAATTAATTAAAATAATATAAAAAGAATTTCTGTTGTTGTAGTTTGTTGTTGTTTCGAAACCTTTATATAAATTAATCATATATCTTTAGAATGAGATTTGCAATACACCATATATAAAAAGGCGATTATATTATTGGAGGAAGATAGAGTTTTAATAAAACTTGATCTTAAAAGATTAATAGGTTATCAAGTAATTCTTTATATGAACCTTAAGTTAATAATATAAATGCTTGAAATTTACTAACTTATATCTCTATGAGAATCAGTACCAAAACTATTTACATGAAACAACTAAAAAAATATCAGATAAAAATATTTGGAAAGAATGATTAGGTTTTCAGCAAAATATATCGCCAGTTAATTTGATATTAGTATTACGACACATTATTGAACAATCCAATGAGTTCAACAAGCCAGTATACTTGTGCTAAGTAGATCTAAAAAAAGTTTTGGACATATTAAGGTTACATAAAGTTATTACACTACTGACATAAAATCGAATAATATATTTACTATATTTAAAAAATTAAACAACAAAAATATATTTAAGTAGCAAACATTTTAAGTAAGGGAAAAAACCTAAAACAATTGCTATATCCGTTTGTTTGTGACGGTCATATAAAAAAAGCAAAAACATGGAAACCTTAAGTAAGATAAGAATATAAAAACTTACTTTCGATCAATGCCCACGAAATTTGGACTAATATCCGTCCAGCAGCAAAACATTAATATACTACAGTTGATGTAAGGATCGTAGAAACCACAACAGGGTACAAAACACGAAACAGAAGAAACAAATTTTAAAGAGAAATATATGATCCCAAAATCTAGCACTACAGACAAAGAAGAGGAAAAAACTGTAAAATAATTTCGCCCATTAGAAATCCACGATTATGAAGACAGAACTGCAGTTGATAATAGAATGAATAGCATAAAATTACAAGAAAACTCGGAGAATGAAAAACGCTGTTCGGTGATTATACCTTAGTTAAAAATTTATTTACTTAAACACACTATAGTAGTAATTATTTTTTCAATTTTTTTTCATTTGATAAAATTATCATGTCTGTTGTAGGTTATCTCTATTTTTATACTGGCTTTAACAGGCACACTATCTTTTTATTTAAATTATCAAATAAAATATAAACAAACTATATTCAATCTTATTTTAGTGTCAGAGATTAGAATCATTTGTTTTTAATTGTTGTGGAGCACATAATTATTTTTAGCTAGTATTCGAAATAATCAATTTACTTTAAAATATGTAATTTTGAAGTATATCATTTCATTAGAAATTAGAAGTGAATTCTCACAGCTTTGCTTCACTTAATTAATCAGTACGTTTTCTGATTTAATGTAATATATAATTAAAAACATTCAGTAACTAAATATAGTTTCTTTTTAAGACTGTGAGCTTTACTATTATTCAGCTATTATCAGCTTTACTATTATTTAAAGCTGATAAATATTCTAACTAGCATTAAAATAGGTACAAAGCTTAATTCTCTATTAAGCAAAGCTGATACATACTTGCTTAATGTTGTGGTTATGGACCTTTTTCTATCATTGCGGTATTAAAACAACAATATTTAACAACAATACTTTAGCTAAGAATTCCGTATAAGATTATTTGTATACCATTTGGCTGGGTTTAAGAATTTAGCATTAATTTTGATTCACTAATCATTACTTATATGACAGTCCCTAACAAACATCTTAAAACTCAATTAAACCACAAAGGAAAAAACATAAAATTTTATATACGATTAATGGTTACTAATAGTAGAAATAATGTCTTTCATTCTAGAATCAATTGAATTGTATAATAAATTTATTTATATTTATATATTATAAATATATGTCATATAAATAATGCTTAAACACAAAAAAAACTAAAAAAGTACACAAATTAATATCCAGCACCTAACTGTTATACAATAACTATCAAACTGTGCATAACATTCATCTATATTGTTTAACTACAATTTTATTTTATTTTAAAAATAGTAATGTATAACATGTATATAATATATAACAATAATAGTAACATATTACAAACAATACTGACTTAAGTTATGCAAAATTATTTTAGACAATAGTGGATCAGCAAATAAGTTGAAATACAATTGATGGGTGAGACTGGCAAAGCATAACGTCTTTAGCAAAATTTATGTTATAACCAAAATCTAAACAAAACTGTTATACAGTGATGATTGAACTGTACATTAAAAGATTGGTTTTAAACTTTACTTAACGGAAACAGTTTTAAATAACAAACACGTAGCAAAGCTATTGTCTCTTCAATAATTGTTAAACTGTTTCAAACAGTGGGCCCAAATACAAAATTGCGCCATATATTTATATATTTATTATTTTATGGCCAAAGCATTTCTTGAATAGTGGGTTTACAGGCTAATGGTCTGTTTTTTATAATTGGTAAAAATAAAAATTTAAAAGAATCTGACAACAGTTTAGACTAAAGTCGATACGAGTATATTGATTGAATAAAAATTATCGTAAAGTAGTGCGTTGTCATTTCTTTTTTTTTATTTTTAACAATAATAAAAAATTGACTCATTGACCTGTGAGAACACTACTTTAAGGTATTAAATTAGTAAATTTAAATGATTTCCTATATAAATATAAGTATAAAGTACATCTAAAGAGATTACAATCTCAAATTGTCACTATAGCCTGCTAGCTTTAAACCATCTGGTTAATAACACTGTGCGAAGTATTTTTTGTACTTTCAACAGTTTTAGGTTAATTTGTGTCTGTTGAACTCAAATCTAGAACCTCTCTAAGAAATCTCACAAAACCTACTCTTTTACTGCACTATCAGCAAATATTTTTATTATTTGAACCATCTAAAACTTACGTTTAGTTGAGTTTATTACGTTATGGACTTGCATTATTATTATGCATTATAAGCATCGAAGAAATCGCGATATAAGACGATATCTACCATATATAAATGTGCCATAAGCGAGCCATATACATCGCTTATATATTTATACTCTGTGAATTTTAATTTCATGTCACATCAGTATACAATAACTCAGATCTAATAAATGTTAACGAAAAACTTACATTTCTGTCACTTATATATAATACTCTATATAACTTATACAAAAATGTTAAACTTAAAAAATATAAATAGCATTATGTTGGTACCTAGGTTAATGCAAAAACAAAATAGTAATTATGGAATGTCAGATAAGTCTTTAAGAAGTCAGGTACTTTAAATAAGTACACCACTTTAATTTAAGTTTATTTAGGTTTGAGAGGAAAGCAGTCTCACAGAGCTAAATATGTTAAATAATTCAGTCACAATTATTTATTTGTAATGAGAGAAAAGTTTGAATAAAGTTTGAGGAAAAAAAACAGTCTCACCGAGTTAGATCTGTTCCACAATTCGGAAGCAATCATATAAATGCGATACTTTTTTCAAATTCGTAAACTTCTGCCTCCATACTACTTGTGACGGCTTCAATTATCACTTCACAAGTTATGATAGGTACAATAAATGTGGGATTTGTATTAGTTTAATCTGGCATGCCTAAAGAGACCTGCACACTGTACTGAGTTTAAAGAAAAATCGGCTCTTCTAGAGTAAACCGTATGCAAACGTATCTTAACTGCAAAATATAGAAATACTTAGCAGAATAGAACAAACAGATCCAAGATGTGACGCTTATGGCGCATATAGTTCAAAATTCACTAGTACGTACGTCACATTCATCAGTTGACGTCCATGATGAAATTTCTCCCGTGAGAAATTTTGTTCCCTTTGGAATCTTTGTCTTAAAAATGTTTTTGATAAATCTTATTCATATTTCCAACACGTTTTTTTAACGAGTTCGTAGATAAATTTACGTACGGAAGAGAAAAATAACTAATCATTCGGTTCAGTAGTTAAATATAATATTACCGACTTTAAGAAATAACATCTACCATAATTCGTTGGTGTAGTTTTTTTTTAATTTCAAATTTTTGGAGCAAAATGTTTTTGATATATTTCATTGGAAGTTCTGTATAATGTTGAAAATAAGTCCCATTATTCGATATGGTTTTTTTTATTTGATTCTTCGGATTAAGCAATTAACTCTTGCAGTTAACATCTAACATATTAAGAGTATACAAAATATATTAATAACCTAATTAACTTACCTGGCTAGAGCATTGGAACCCAATTGCCGTCGACCAGAGCTAAAAAAATAATTAAAAAAAATATATATTAATTAAAATTAAACAACCTGTGTATATTTGAATAATATGAAAATAATAACACAAAGAGCAGATAGAAAGCCAGACCAAAATTTGTTTATAATGTATTTAAAAGGTAAGCTTAATAAGTGAACGTGTTCATTACTGTTTATACTTGCACATACCGAGTGTTTGAATAAGGAAACCCTACAGAGTTCAGCATAAGGTATGTGTGACATTGACATCAAGAAATGCAACTGGCTCTTTTATGGGCCATTGTTAGCGTTAAAAAAGGAAAAAATAGAATGCAAATGGTAGCAAGTATAAATATATCTAAAATGAATGCTTAGTCTAAGAAAAGTGCTTACTGAAACGTTTTATTTATAATTCAAGACTCGAACTTGTAAATGCCCAAAACCACAAATACAAAAAGAAATTTTTATTCAAATGCGGTTGCAACAAATAATAGTACATTCGCGTGCAAAACAATTGATGCAACTACTATTTCTATAGGTAGTAACTATATGGTAGCTATGAAATAATTTGAGGATGTTATAACGATAAGAAAATTGAGAATGAGAAATTTTATAACCCTAAAAATATTTTATTTAACATTACAATAGTTTATGATATATAATATATAAAATAATATATTACATAACATATAACATAATATATAAAATAATATATATAAAACAATATATTTAATATTATTTATGATTTATTCAATTTATAAATAAATATAATACAAATCACCTTTCAGTAGTTTATTTTTATTTTATTTAAATTTTAAATCAAATTTTATTTACATTTTCATTTATAACACAAAAAACAAGTGAATGCTTAACACTTTTGTCACCTGAAGGATTGTAGTAATGAAGCCAATAAAATACAAATATGTGGCAACGTTTCAAGCATGAAGAATTCAAATTTGAATTTATTTTTCTTTTTTTTTTCTTGACTATTTTTAAACAATTTAAAAACGATTTATTTCGCAAAACATGAAAAGAGCTGAAGAAACACGTGTTGCTTATTTAAAAATAAAACATAAAATCAATAAAAATAGATTCATATTATTTTTTCTATTTTAAAGTATAATTAGTTATTTTAATATTAAAAACAAAACATTTACTATATTTACCATCTTCTTTATTATAGGTTTATATTTATTGAATTAAATATTTAAATTGCCATAAACATCATCTCAAATATAAACCAAATAATTAATGATAGACACTCACAATATAAGTGAGAGTATTTAAAACAAAAATAAAAAAATAAAACGAATTAAAAATATTTAAATAAAAAACATTTTAAATAAGAAATAAACATAATAAAAATATTTAAATAAATAAAATTATCTGTACTGATATTTGTTCAAGCATAACTAATTGAAGTATGTGAGCAATGAAAAATTCCATCTAATATAGTTGATATAAACTTTAATTTTAAATTTCATTTTTATTGAGATTTTTGCTTATATGAAAAAAAAATAAAAAAATTAATTAATATATTGCTGTAAGCAAAAAATTTGTTTGCATTTTTTAATAATTAAAAAATAATAAAATTTTTCCAATAACACTGAAAAATGTTTCTTTAATGAATTTCACTCGGAATGCAGTTGTCAATTAAAATAGAAAAAATAATCTATATTTAATAATCAGAGGAACTAAATTGTTGGAAGTCGCTAATGGACAATTAAGTTTAAAAACGATATCAAAATTTTTATATAATGAGTATTTATATAACTATTAAAACTTACAATACTCTTTAAAAAGAGTTATATAAAACTTTAAAAAAAGTGATTACGAGTATAACAAATTATTAAAAAAATTATATCAAGAAAAAAATTATATATTACATCAAGATAAAAAAAAGACCAATCCAAGTCAACGTATGTAATAAAAATACGTATTCCCGACCCATCTAAAAATTGATTACATACACTCTAGGAATGGAGCCTTATTAAATTTGACGGTAATCACTTGACTGATATCCACAAGAAAATAGAATAAGATACTATAGATCAAAAGTAAAGTGATGCCGTTTTATAGTTGGTACTTTTATAGGCCTTTTGCGTCAAATGTGGTATTAAAACAACGAAAAATCAGTAATTATAGGCAAGAAAGAAAATCGGCTGACCAGCTACTGCACCTAACCAACCAACAAAATTGTTATTGAGTAATATTTGACAAAATCACCATGTATTGTATTCGAAAAAAATGTTCAGCAAATATATTTACAGAGTCCTAACAATATGTGATTAAGAAACCCATAGAGACAAATCTATAGCAAAATGTTTAACATTTGAGAAATTAAAAGCAACCCGCAAAATCATATTCACTCTAACGGAAGAGCTATTCACAAGTTGTTCTCAACAATATTGCAATTCGACAAAGAGGTCAAGAAAGCTGGACTAGTGGTATTTGTCAAATCTGAAGAAAATTGAAATTTTTTATAGTGAAATCAATTTGCTCTGGAAGATTACTTATAATTTTACTTAGACTGCACTACACATTCTATTGTTGGATTACACATACATCAAGTTAATGAAATATTGTTAAAAAAAATTATTTTGAACCATATACGAAAACCAAAAACTTCAGATATATAATACAGAAAAAAATGTACATAATAGAAAAGTTCTAGAAGTAAAGAAACAATAAAATTTTTAATTTATTCGAGTTTTATCTGACCATACAGCTTTTCTAATGTTGTTTAATAATCATCATTACTGGCCTTTCTTAAATTTATTTATTGTTATATAGTTTTCAAACTTCAAGCACGAAGAGTTAAATTTATAGCTTGTTAAATTTGGAGCACACAATCAGGTTTTAGACAGCTAACCGCACTTTAATTGTAGAATTGGGGATTATTAATTTTTTTTTTATAGTTTACAAAT